TTAGAGAATTTCAAAAAAAAAAATTAATTTGGACATTTTGTTCATTAATGAGAGGTGTTATAGTTGTAATATTGTAATTATTAATACACTTTGTGCTGTGGCTCTTTTCCTTTATAAATTACTTAACATATCATTAAATATATTACTACATATCTGATTATTTTGGTTAGTTACTTTAAATTTTTATACACAATCTCCATAGTAGAATGCATAATTACAGAAAAATTAAATAGCCATTTTAACATATTTATAGCTTTTGCTTTAGAATTCTTCTTACATTAAATAGACACAAGCAAAAGAAAACTGCGTTATGTAAAAGTTATCTGATATGGCTGTTTAGTTTGATGTATACCATATATCATCTCTACAGCTGACTTTTCTCCACCCCAAATCTCTCACATTTTCACTTCCTAAACTTCCTTGGCACTGCTAATGTTGGAAACCATGGTTGAAATGAATATCAGTCAATTTATTTATTTATTTTTATTTTATGTGTATGAGTGTTATGCCTGCATGTGTGTAAGTGCACCACAGAGGACAGAAGAGGGTGTCAGATGTCAGATCCCATGGAACTGGCATTACCAATGGTTGTTAGCCACCACGTAGGTGCTGGGATTCAAACCTGAGTCTTCTGGAAGAACAGCCGGCACTCTTAACTGATGGTCCATCTCTCTAGCCTCACATTAGTCAATTTTAAGGGTGCATTGAATGTGATATGTATGTTACCCCATGAAACAGAAGTCAGATTTTTGTGATTCACATACTTCAACTGTTGATAGGTAAAAAGAGATTCCCAGTCAAAAATGTGAAGGAGTTGTTTCAGGTCACTGCTGAGGGTTGGGGAACAGCCTAAGCTTCCCATTGTGGAGTGTGCAGAAGACTGGGCCAGGCTGTGACCCTAGTGGCGCCTTTGCAGGATGAAAGTCAAACTAGATTTTTTTTTCCCCAGAGACAGGGTCTTATGTGCCCTGGCTTACCTCTGCTTCCCAAGTTCTGGGATTAGAGTCATGCACCACCCTGCCTGACTTCTGAGGATTTTATGCTTAAAGTTGGTGACTTTCTTCTTTGGTAGTAGGGAGTCATCTCTACTTTTGACCAGTGGAATAAACAGGGTGCTTGGAGAGAGTCCTGTCTATAAAGGGTGATCTGGAAGAGACATGTGGGATAGATTGAAGGGAAAGTGATAAGAGCACCTGTTGGGAGTCAGACAATGAAAAAGAAAAAGGAAATAACATTTGAAGAGGCTTTCAAGTTAAAAATAGTTTATACCTTATTAGGAAAAGGAAGTGAAGGACGTAAAATAGTTTAGATAACTTATACTCAATACTACTTTATTTAGAGAGTAGCACAAAGCACTTCAAAAATCAATTGGTTGAGGTGAGTATTATAAAAATGCATTATATACATGCATGAGAATTCATAATGAAACCCCTTATTTTGTGCAAATAATGTTATTAAAATAAAAATAAATTTTAGCATATAATCATAAGTTCTATGAACTGACTAATCAAATATTAACCACTGTGCTAGGAAGAAGTAAGTTTATGAATAGAAACTTATTCCAGGCTAGTGAGAGACACTTTAAGAACTATGCATTATCCCGGCATGGTAGTACACCTGTATTCCTAGCACAGGTGAGGTGAGGATATGATTCTGCATTCAAGGCCAGCCTGGATTAAATAGTGAGACCCTTCCCAAAAAGTAAAACAAAAGCCATTCATTATCTTGTTTTTCTTTTTAAATAAAATCTCAAAGTAAAAGTTTTTAAAAATATAAAATTTACTTCTTTTTGTCTAGTGGTGACCATGGTTGATATTAAAATGTTACTATATTGTAACTCAGTGTTTTTTCTTTCTGTTCTTTATTGCTATGTTATAAATTTTGGCTCCTGCTACATATATAAATATTCATTTTTTTACTTGACACTATGTTGTCATCACTTTCCAAGTCTAAGTATTCTTCAACACTATGTGAATAACTGCATGGTATTCTATTTTATCCACCTATCAAAGTTTAGTTAACAGTTTTTTATTATTCAGTACTTGAATTACTTTCATGTTATTGGCTAGTATAAATTATGCTGCTATAAATATTTGCTCATATATCTTTGTGCATATAGCTAATTATATACATACAAAACATTTTAAACTAAGAATTGCTCATTTAAGAGTGTGCTTATTTTGAAGATTCTTATATTGGCATATTGTCTAATTGTTCTTTCACTAAATTTCTCTTTTTCTTTCAACCATTTATTACTTTTTTCCATACGCAAGCTCACATACATTTTTAAAAACAATCTCAAATGAGAAAAAGTCATAGATGGGTAAGAAAGATTCTCTTGGTCCCCTAAATTATAAGGTGCTTGTTTGATGCGCTGCTACCCTCTGCCAAACACTTTGGTATGTACTTCCCACAAGAATGTCCCCAGCACAGCCACACACAGGCAGGAGAACCCTGTAGCTCTACAAGCTCATTCAAGACTGGCCCTTCTATCAGCAAAGTCGTTTATACCCAAAGCTGCAGGGTGAGAAATCACATTGAGTTTATGTCTCTTTAGATTTCTTCAGTCTGGAACAGTTTTAGTTTCTATTTGACTTTCATGGCCTGTTATTTTGTAGAATTCTCTGATATTTGGGTTGTAGCTAGTTGTATATTAGTGTTAGTTATGAAATAAACATTTCCTTCTTGGATTTACATTGTAGGTGCTATGCATATCTTTCCTTTAGTTCACATGCAAGTAAGTGAACAGCCAATAGCACTATGTGTCACCAAGTGAAGAATTTATAAATATAATGAATGACTAACGCTCACACAGATTGAACATTCATGTAGTGCCTAAATAAAATTTATCCTTGTGTTTAAAAAATGTCTAACACTTTTCAAATATAAGACAAGGAAATAAGAGAAACTAATGTACCAAGTATTAACTTTCTCTTCTCCAACAGCTACTATCTCCCTAAGAAGTTCACTCAGTGTAATATTGAAGAGTATCATGGCTTCCTGAATAGTGGCGGTGGGGCCTGCCTCTTCAACAAACCTTCCAAGGTAATGATGTGCTCAAGACTTGTAACTGCTGATTGTTGTACGCTATTATAAATGCTATTTTTAGCTAGTCAGTCTATAAAGGAAGACTTTTCAGTTTGGCCTACATGTGCAAGTTTCTACATGCATACATTTTCTAAGTCAGCCTATGTGGGCATTTGGGTCTACTCCAAATTCTGTTACCAGCTACTCTGGTAACAGAAAGCAGATAGAAATAGCAGGGACTTTGTTTTGTTTTCTTTATGGTTTCTCCCTCAGTTATTTCATTATCTTTTTTGGTTTTCCTTCCACAGCTTCTGGATCCCCCAGAGTGTGGCAATGGCTTCATTGAAACTGGAGAGGAGTGTGACTGTGGCACCACTGCGGTGAGTCTCTGGTGGTCAGTCGTTTCCAAGATAGTTTCTAGGTAACGAGGGGGTTAGTCTAGGTACATAGCCTCAAGATACACTGAGCGTTGTAGCTCAGAATCTTAGAGGATTTGTGGATAAATTATTGTTGTTATGCATTTATACATTTATTTTAGAAAATATCTTGGTACTTTTGGGAAAATGACAACATTTTCTGATGTTTTGCAATTGCTCATATTCCTTAGGAATGTGCCCTTGAAGGAGCAGAGTGTTGTAAGAAATGCACCTTGACCCAAGACTCACAATGCAGCGATGGTCTCTGTTGTAAAAAGTGCAAGGTAAATAAATGGCCAATGAAGGCCAAAGGTGAAAAAGAAGGTGCAATATGATTAAATTGCTAAGGCTTTAAAAATATAACTTAATAACTGTGTCTAGCACAAATAAATGATGAAATTCCAAGTGGTCACATCTTCATAAAATCTTCTGAAGTGTACTTTCTGTCATTACTTCTATTTAACTTGTCTCACATCTTTTACCAATAAACCACGGCACTGGAGCCTGAACACTGTTAATTCTCAGAGGCTATCCTCTCTCTACTGCCTCTCTGAGGCGAAGGCATGTTAAATGAAACCAGGTGTTACTAATCTTTTTTTTTTTTTTGAGACAGAGTCTCATTATGTAGCACTGGCTGGCCTGCAACTCACTGTGTAGATCAAGCAGGGCCTGGAACTCACAGAGATCTTCCTGCCTTTGCATCCTGAGTGCTGGGATTAAAGACATGCACCACCATGCTTGGCCAACATGTTGTTAGGCTTTGAGTAGCATTTCCTTCTCTGTAAAGCCAAACATATTTGCTATAGCCTTCTTGTTGCTCAGCTTGTTATATCCTTTGACACTAGCTACTTAGGGTATAAGAGAAATGCTTTAGGCAAGATAATACCTTACATGCTTTATTGATATAGAAGTTGAGATCCATCTTTATGCTCATATCTGATTTTATCCCCCTAACAGAATCTTCATACTTACCTCTAAATATGTACATTTTTACATCAAGAAAAAAGTTACTTGGGGCTTACCTTCCCCTGCCCTCCCCCAAAAAAGTTTTTCTTTTCCATGCACTGTTTGATTTCTGAACATTCATCTATCACCAGTTTAAATATTTTATGGTGCAGAGCCAGGCATTTGCACAGAAACTGACATAGATTCTTAGTATATGCTTGTTGAGTGCATAAATAAATATACATGGTACTTGGATGATTGTTTGCTGATTGAATAGCTTTGAGTTAAAGGAAGGTGGGATGGATCTAAAACTCTGAAGTAACTATCCTCTTTGGGTCAAAACTTTTAATTTGTGTCATCTTATGTCTGGATGTCCCAGCTGACACTATGGGCATTCTTGGCTGGGTAAGTAAAGGAGTGCCTTGTGCATTGTAGGATACTAGCAGCATCCCTGGTTGTATCCATTAGATGCTGAAGAACTGTCCCAGTTGTGACAGCCAAAATGTCTTCAGACATTAGAAAAATGCCCCCTTTGGGGACAAAATTTCCTTGCTTGATACCACTGTCTTAGATAATGTGCACAAGCATGCTCTTGCTGAGGCATTCTCATCTTGATTTTGACAGTTGTGCTATTCTGATCTCAAGGGTGATGAATAACCTACAGAAGCTTGCTCAGAAGAAGGCATAGATGTGCTGTTAAATCCCAGATCTGCTGGCAGGACTTTCTGTTGTTTGCATTCTGCTGCTGTGTCTCTGGCAGCTTTTTAAAAGCAAGGTGCTGGCAGAGATCTCTGAAAGCATCCTCTCCAAGAAGAGATTAAATCACATGTGAAACAGACATCTTTTCATTTTGTCTGCCATATCTCTTATGCTGTCAGCTTCTCTAACTGTGTAACAAGGGATCCTGAGCCATTTATCCTTAATCCTTGATGTTTTAAGTCTGCCTATCTGTAAAGTACATGTAAATAACACCTTTGTCTTAGACGTGTAGAATTAGAGTCTTTGTGATATTATAATCTTTATAAGGAAGAAATACAAAATAATCGAATACATAAATTACTATCCAACTAAAATCTTTTTGTTGCTTTCTTTACACTCCCCCTTCCCCGACTCCTAAGGGAACCAGAGGCAGAAGAGTGAATGGAGGAAGGGAAGTACATTAAGATGAGAAACTCTGTCTCAATTTTTCTACACATATCTATAAGTATCTATAAGGCAAGGGTTGGCAAATGTTTTCTGTGACCACTAATAAATAGTTTAGGATTTTTGAATCATAGCCTCTCCCAGTTTCTCTTCTCTGTCTTTGAAAGTAGCCATCAGAACTACAGAAGCAAATGTGTGCCAGTGTTCCAGTAAAACTCTCTGTGTAAAGTTTTAGCCAGCTGATTCGGCCCTCAGGTCACAGCTTGTGGCCCTGCCCTGGCTATTGCTTGCTTTCTGTTGTTTGTGTCCTCCTGTTCTAAGTTCCCGTTAGGCAGGGATTCTGGTTGACTTACTGCTGTATCCTAGATGATGAGCACATCTTTCCTTACTCTGCTTTTTTCCCCAAGGTTTCCTAAAAATTCTTGGATATTTACACTCTTATCTAAACTCTACCTCAAATCTATTCTTTAGATATTGTAAAATTGTAGCTTGTCCCATTTGAAGGAAGAAAAGAACCAGAACAGGTGAAGTTAAATTATTTTGCTTATTTCTTTATTTGGCTGTCATAATCATACCTCTCTGGTAAAAAATAACTTCCTTATGAGCAGGCTTCTTGTATTTTGTTTTTCATGGAATTTCCAGTGTGCCTGGTAAGTACTAAATGCTTCGTAAACATAAGTAATGAACACAAATTTTGTTTGGATCTCCTGAAAAGCATCTTTTGACATCCTAATTGGAGTTGGCAATGGCTAGTGCCTGATCTGGGAACAGTAAGAGACTCAGGTGCCTGGTGGGTTCTGAGCAGGGAGAGGAAATGAGGTTTCCATGGAAGTGGGAGGAGCACAATATTATGCAAGTCTGCTTGAACAGAGGACAAAAGCGGAGACTAACCCAGCTCCCAGGGTCAGCACTTTGGATGAAAGAGGAGAGGGCTTGAAGTGGGAGGGAAGGAACGTTCTGATGACTTGATGTATCCCTGGTCTGCTTTGTTAGTACAAGTACAATTGCAGTTTACAAATCCAGTGAGGCTAAAGATGGATTGAGGAAGTATTCGAAGTGATTGAAAACAAAGAAGCAAAAAGCCCCAAGCACCTGTCCAGAGACACAAATGTTAGGAAATTAGAAATGAGTTAAATCTATGTAGAGAGGAGGAAGGGGAGAAGAGAATGGAAATCTTGAGAAAAAATAACTGCTAGAAAATCAAACTTTAGTGATTCAGTCCAAAATATAACTTTCCAGTTTTTGGCAGATAAGGCAGAAAGAAAGAAAAAAATTTATATGATAAAGTTGTAAATAAGAAAGAAGGGTGAAGCATAAATCCAAAAACTGCTTGCCGGGAACTTGGGCTAACTCATCCTTCAAGCTCTGTTCCATTTTAGCAGAATATTTTGATGCTTATGTGTGGTGACTGTGGAAGTGACTTCATACACAAGAAACTATCTCTTGAAACTATTAAGATAGCATTTTATTCAGCAACTGTTTTTCACAGACTATCTTCTTAAAACAGTTTAAGGTATTCTTTTCCAAACAGTTTTCATTTTCCTTTTTTTATTTTTATGCTACTATGGGAGTTTTTGGTCCTTTCACAGTTTTGCACATTGATTTTTTTTTTGTTGTTCATTTTAGTTTCAGCCCATGGGGACTGTGTGCCGGGAAGTAGTGAATGATTGTGATATTCGTGAAACATGTTCGGGGAATTCAAGCCAGGTAATTTATAAAGGAATTATTCTAAGCTCCATGGGGAAAAGTGGGGGCACCTTTGGTGTGCTACCCCCTGGAGAGATGTAAATGGGTAAGATGCGCATGTGTCTCTTTCATATCACCTCTCTCTGTCTCTCTTTTATTTTTCAAGCATTTAAGTTTGAGTAATTACAGCTTGAATAGATGTTCAGCATACATGTGTCTTGATGTAGAACTAACCTAAGATTGCATATGTGTCTTAGATACATTGTTTTTTGTTTGAAGTAGAGAGTAAAAGGCATTTAATTTTTTTTTTTTTTACTTACTAAAGGAAGAAGTTATTTACTGTTACTAATGAAATGGCAGCCAGCTGAAGCAGAGAGACCCATAGAGCTTTGGGCCCTGAGAGGGGACCTTTTATTTATCTGAGAGATTCATCACTTCCACCATTAATATCTTTCCTTGAATTTAGTGTGGATAGATGTGCCAGGGTATTGGAAACTGTAATGAGGTTACAGATTTCAATGTGCTCAATCCTCGCATTACATAGTTGTGTCAAACTGTAAAAACAAACATATAAGTTGAAACAATAGACAGTGGAAAATATTACAGTTGCTTCGTGATCTTTAAAAACTTTGTCAAATTACGGAAAACTCATTGCTGTTGATTTTAAATGCATAAGGAAATGAACACATAGTAAGTTAAAACAAAAAACAATGAAAATTATTTTATTTCTTTATAAAATACAAGACTAGTATGAACTGTGTTGTCACCTTCTTTTAAACTTCATGACAGAGTGAGAGTCATTTCCATACCTTGTTGCACTGTCATACTCTTCCTAAGTTGGGCTCCTTTGTGCTTTCAAGGATGAAATATCTCTGAGGGATTGAGTCTGGCTGTTCATGGGAAGTATCTTGTTGGCATTGCTTCTGCTAAGACGTTTTGCCAGTTATACCATGCTCTTCACTGATTTAGGGGGTACTCATCCTCTGTGTTCCTGTAGCTGCAGCTTCATTTGCATTTCGTTTCTGGTCTCATCACACTTTGTCTTTGCATGGTATTCTCTGTCTCTTGTCTCTTTCTCTCTTTCTGTCTGTCTCTCTCTCTCTCTCTCTCTGTCTCTCTCTGTCTCTCTCTCT